AGATCAAGACTGATAAAAATTACATGCAAGGCCCTGGGGGCAATTGTAATCCTTTTTCTAATCTCAGGAAGATTCAAAATAGCATCCTGGTGACACAGCAAATGAGAGCACGTCACCCCTATTGCAGCTGTCACTGGTATCTGCATCGGGTGAATTATAGAGATTAGCCACATCCAGGAATTACTGCACTTTTTGCATGGTTCTGTGCATGGCCCTTCTTAAGGTGGAATTGCTCAGGTTTGCATTCAGACTCTGGAAGGAGCTTAGGAAGTTCCCTGCTGCCACCCAGTGTTGGGAGAGCAGGCCCGGGAGAAACCACTGAAGGCCTGGCAAGCGTCCTGGCTCTCTGCGAGGGGCCAGAGCCTTCCCGAAGCTACAGAGAAGGGTGCTGCACATCTCCCCTAGGCCCCGGGCAAGCTTATTTTAGTGGTCACATTCCACATCACATCAAAGGTCTGAAAACACCCCCACATCCCACACTAAATAAATTGACATGTAACCAAGACTGGAGTTTGGTTTTGAGTTGGTTGTCATGTTATATTCTGCAGAAATTCATTTATTTTGGTTTCGCAATTTTGGTTTTGAATGATGGCTCCAACGTGGGGGCTGTAGGGGAAAGAGGAGCTCTTAAACATTATCCTAAGTCAGAAGCCTCTGAAAAGCTCTTAGGCCCCCGGGCTCAGTGCCTTCAGCACCTGCTACTGTGGGTAGGGCTGAAAACAGAGGACTAGCACAGAGGAAGAAAAAGGCCGAGGAATATGAGCTCTGATTACCTCTGCCAACCTGTGCACTACAAGTATTAGTCCTTCTGCTATTTCCATGGCAAGGAGCAGCTTCGGTCTACTGAATTTATCCAGAAAAGTCATAGGCAAACCACAGGCAGGATCTGCTACACTCTAGTGCCAAGATTTCACTGCTAAAATAACAAAAACAAAAACCCCTTGATCGGGTGTCCTGTCCAGTACAATTCCCAAATAAGGCCCCTGCCTTCCCACAGCAATGCGTGTACCTGCTAAAAGGCAAGCAGCCAACACAGAGCGTCATGCTCTTGAGTCCCCAAATCCTTCCCGAGGTGTGGCCAGTGACTTTTACTTACACGAGATAGTGAATGGTGAGCCGCTGACATGCAAGTATCAGTCCCCTGCACTTCCCACCTGGATCGTGTCTTTGGTGAATGGGGTCAGCCAACTCCTTGGTACGAGAGCACAGGAACGAGAGCAGAGGAAGCAGAAATAACCAGCTTTGTACAAATGAGGCCAAATTGGACCGGGAACAGAAGTGACAAATTCAGGCTGGAAGAGGCCATAGAGCTTATTTAATCTATTTGCCTGCTCTCTGGCAAAGCTGAAATGAAGCTATTTTGGACACCTTATGGACTGAACTTGGCGATTCTGCACATTTGTGGATTTAGGATTTCTATGGATTTAGCACACAGGGATTTTTATTCTGTGAAATAATCTTTTTTTTTTAACCCCCTTTCATTACCTGTTCTTTAAGCTCTTAAATTTTATCTTTAATCACCCTAGTCAAGATGCTATTTCCCCCATTAACTATATACGACTGCATTTTACCACAAGCCTGTATGAATGGGCCTATATGGCAGGATTACGGCATCACGTGATTCAGAGTTGGCAGAATCTTCATGAAGAGAATCTAGCTCCATTCAGAGTTTGTGTCTTCTGTAGAGAATTCCCAGGAAGTGTTTTTTCAGACTCTGTCTCAATACTTACGCACTCAGCAAGGGAGCTGTATCTTTCTAAAGCAGTCCTCTTCCTAAATGTACGGGAGAGGTACACTTGCGAAACCCTTCTTCCTTTCATTATCCTTTCAAGAGTTAAACCACGTGACTCAGTGATGCTGAGCCTGAGAGTCAGCAGTTGACATTTCTCTGCTATAGGACACTAGTGGGAGCCCTACATGGCCTCCAGGGACCCCACAGAAAATGGTGACATTCTATGGAGGTATAACACACACAACCAGCCCCACTCCTTCCCCTCCAAAGGCCTCCAAGGATCCCAGACTTTTGTGAAAGAAGTTGGTCTATTCACTCGAGGGGCAATCAAGCACAGAAGACCATACGCAAACCCCTTTCTTGTACTTTTGTCAAGGGTCAAGCCTGTTCTGAGAACCCGGAACTCTTCTTTGTAGAAGTCATCCAACAGCATTCTTTTTATTTTTTTTTTAGCTTTATTTATTTATTTATGAGAGAAAGAGAGTGAGCAGGGGGAGGAGCAGAAAGAGAGGGACAAGCAGACTCCGAGCTAAGCACTGAGCCCGATGCTGGCCTCCATCTCACAACCCTGAGATCGTGACCTGAGCCAAATCAAGAGTTGGACATTCAACTAACTGAGCCACCCAGGCGCCCCCAACAGCATTTTTAAATCCAGGATCCTACAGAGGTAGGATCCACAAGCCGGATATTGAACTACCATTCCAGTGCCACGGTTGTTAGTTATGATTCGAAATGTGGATGGGTGTTTGTTCAGATGCTGAAACCTCAGTCTGGGCTTCGGAAATCTAGAAGGAAAAACCATGCAGACCTGAAAGAAAGACCACAGTTGGCTTCAAATTGTCCACCACGTGCATAAAATAAGAGGGAAGAAAATCAGCTCTGAGGTCCTGCCTCAACCAGAAGATGTGCTTTAGAGGGTAGACAGTAGCTTTTGGAATTCCTCCATTTATTTGTCCTTCTGGGAGGTGGTGCTCGTGGCCGACGAGCCCCTGGGTCTGCGTGGTACTAATGTGAGGGAGGTGGGGATGGGCGAAGCAAGCACAGATCCCTGACTTGTCAGAGTTTAAAGGGAAGGAAAAGGGTTAAACAACTAAAAATATCCTTGAAGCCAAATTTAAGGAAGAAGGATTCTTCTTATGGAGGATAACTCAGTCTACCTGTAATTACATACTTCACTTCACTTACTAACTATGGCCCAAGCAGGATTGTCCCTAAACCAAAAGCTGTCCCACACCTCCTCCTGCTACCCCTTCCCCCAGCAGGGCTTGGTTGTAGGCAGTGCTTTTATGGATTATGTGAGTTTCTCATTGCCTCTATAACAAATTATCACAAACTTAGTGTCTCCATACAACAAAAATTTATTTTCCTACAATTCCGGAGGTCAGAAGTCCCATTGGTCTAAAGTCAAAGTACCAGCAGGACAACATCTCTTCTAGAAGCTCTAAGGGAGAATTTATTTCCTTGCTTTTTGCAGCTTCTAGAAGCCTCCTGTATTCCCTTGGCCCACGGCCTCTTCCTCCATATTCAAAATGAGCTACCTAGCATCTTCAAATCTTTATAATTCTGACCTTCCTGCCTCCCTCTCACAAGGACCATAGTAATTACATTGGGCCCACCCAGATAATCCAGAATAATCTTTCCATCTCATAATCCTTAACTCAACTGTAACTGCAGGGCCCCCTTTGCCATGTAACCTCACATATTCACAAGTTTTGGGAATCAGGACATGGACGTTCTGAGAAGGGGCTCTTTATTTTGCCTATCACATGTGTCTTGTCTGTCTTGGAGTACAAATAATCCATGTTCCTCAGAGAAAAATTAGAAAATACAGAACAGTTTAAAATTAGAAAGTACAGAATGCAACCGCTTTTAAAATATCTCCATTTTGTTCCTTAAAGAAAAACAAAACTCGACCGAGTATTCGCTAACGCACTCTCACTTCACAATATAATGTAATCGTCCTCTCACGTGGACAGATATAACTGTAGGTGTCGGCATTTTAATGACTGTACAGTGTTCTATTATGACATTGTGCTATAATTTTTGAACATGTCGCCTGTTTCCAGTTTCCTGTACATACCAGTAATGATGTCATAACATTCTTGTTCATGCATATTGGTATATTTGCCTGGTATTTTCTGAGGGCGAGTTCCCAGAAATGTAATAGCTGGGCCAATGGCTGTGGTTGCTTCTAAGGCTTGAGATACATATGGCCAAATTGCCTTCAGGAAGCTCATGCCAATTCACAGACTCCCCTGCAAAGCAGACTGTTAGTCCACATGCTCAGAACCCTGGCCAGGATCAGACTTCAAATCCCTTATCAAACTGATAGACCAGTTGAAATCCCACAATTGTTTTAATTCATATTCCTTCAATTACCAGTAAGATTAAATATTTTTCATGAATTTTCTACTTCACAGTTTTTTTGTTACTTGCCACCTTATGTCCTTTTTCTGTACTAACGTGCTTACATTTTTCTTAATATGTGTTGTTAAAGCTATACGTTAACCCTATGTCATTTTGCCACAGATAATTTTCTCAGTTTGGTGCTTTTTTTTTAAATTGAGTCTTTAATGCATAGAGCTTTTGACTTTTTTTTTGTGGTTAAATCTATCAGATTTTTTACTTATAGTGTCTGCCTTTGGTCTCACGCTTAGCACTGTGGTATTGTGTCGCGGGCCTCGCCCACCCTAATATATAAATATTCTCTAATGGCATTATTAATCTATCTTGATTGTTTGCCTAAAATATACGTTAGTGCCTTTTGCTAAAAGAATTCTGTTAAGGCAGCCACTTGAAACACAAAGATGTAGCTCCCTGCAGGTTTGACATCAGGCTTTAAATAGCGGGCATGTTCTGTGGCTGTATCCAAGGCTTGGCAGCAATATCTCTAATTGGGGTTATACTTGAGGTCCTAATTCATTGTGATTTTTAAACCAAGTGAAGAGCCTTCAGAGAGAGAGGGCCTACCTCCTCTTTTGATTCAGTTGAGAAAATATGACTCAGCTCTTGCTTTTCATGGTGGAGAAGTTTAATTTAATTTTCCTTGCTTACTTCCCCTGCTTGTTGGATCCCTGAGGTGTGGGCAGAGATTTTGCGATATGGGGTCCAAGCCCGTGGAGTTCTCAGCTCTGGTTGTCCTGCTTTAGGCTATGGCCAAGGGGAATCAGGGAGTGAAGGGCTTAAGAAGGCAGACCTTAGAGAAGTTACTGCAAAAGACCATGGACCACTGCCCACCGCTCAGGGGAAGACATTTCTTTGTTCTTACCTCACCTGGAGGGGTAGCTGTGGACTCATTCAGCAGGTGTTTCCTCCTGAGTTTGGGCCGGTGCCATATGGAAGTAGGAAACCCAAGCCGGCAGGGAGGGCACCCTACTTACCAGACAGGTTTCACCGTATTCTGCAAACTTAAAGATTTAGATGAAGGTCCTTCCATTTTCCTGAAAATTAAAATGAGTACCAGAACTTTCCACTGAACAGCTTCTCCCCTCCCTAGGTCCTCAGAAATATGTGGGAATGGAGAACTTACTGAGGACAAAGACCCATTGCTAAGGATGTCTCCTATTCAGATAGGAGAGTGGACCACACCTGCCTTCCAGTCCCTTTGCTCAACAGGCAGGTAGTGTGAGCCAACTTCCACCCCTTTGTTTATGCCGCTCCCCCTGCCTAACAGACCTTCCTCCGCACCCACCTACTGAAGTCATAATCATCAAGACTCAACTCAAAATCTGCCTCTAACTTATCTTTCCAACCCTCTATCCCTCCTGCCACTTCCTCCCCCAACCCCCACCAGCCCAACAGTATTGTGTGGTGGCTTTGGAACCAAATGAGCGTGGGTTTGCAATGATTCTCCCACCTAATCACATCGGGCATTTGGAACCTTTGGAATATTGACTTAACAGTTCTGAGCCTTGGCTTCTTCATTGGAGGATGAAAACCACTAACTTTCTCAAAGGTGTTGTTTAAATAAGATCATACATAAGATGATAACAGCAGGTCTCTGGCCTCTAGGTGCTTATATTAACTGGTGAAAACCATAACACAAGATAATATCACTATCATAAAAGGGACACAGAGTGCTTCAGCAGTACAGAGAAAAAAAGGGGTTTTGTCATCTGGGAATGATCTGGAAAAGTAAATGGCTGAGGGGGCATTAAGCCTCTTGAAGAAGGAGTAAAAGTCTACCGGGTAAAGCTGGGAGCCAAGGATAAAGGAGGGAAGTCAGGCTGTGTCCAGAGAAGAGAAAATAGCAGGCTCCAGCAGAGCTGTTTTTTTTTTTTTTAAATCGGTTTATTAACAATACCGGAGTTAAAATAAAACAAAATAGGGGCACCTGGGTGGCTCGGTCAGTTAAGCGTCTGGCTCTTGATCTCGGCTCAGGTCTTGATCTCAGGGTCTTGGGTTCGGACTCTGTGTTGGGTTCTACACTGGGTGTGGAGTCGATACATACATACATACATACATACATACATAAAATAGTTTGTTGTTATTTTAGTTTTAAACGTCAAAAATCAAGGTTTTCTGAGCACGGATTGATAGCATTAGAATTATCTCTAGAAAGGTCAACTTGGTGATTGTGTACACTACAGTTTAGAAGAAATTCATTGGCCGGTTAAGAAGACAATGCGATCACCCCTACTGAAAAGAGCAGCCTTAACTCTGGAACCAATAAAGTTGACCTAACCTGTGACCTGATTGGATGGGAGACAGGGAATAGACATGACAAAGAAGACTTATTCTTGGTGAGTTGGAGTATGGTGGGGCCGTTAAAGAAAAGAGAGACGCTGAGAGGACCACTTCTGGCAGGCTCAGACGGCGCTACCAGGGAGAAGGACATTCCCGTGGGAATGAGAAGCAAGAGAAGGGACGTTAAGAAAAAAACTGGTACCCAAGATAAAGCTTAAGGGTCCATCCATATAAATGAGATAATGAAAATTGTGTGAATGGATGAGATTCCCAAAGACAGAGTGTAGGAAGAAAAGAAGACCAAGGACAGAAGCTTAAGTGATGTGGACACGTAGGGAGTAGAAATGTGAACCAAGATCAGGATAAAACAATCTCATATCTAAATGTGATATTTCCTCTTTATCTGCAGTATTCTCGAAGGTTCCCTTCATTTAAATGACCATCATTTTTCAAGCTTTAGCCAAATTCTTATGCAAAACAATTATTAATTATTCATGGCTTGAATTTACCGAGCACGTGCTGGATGCCAATCACTGTACTAAAAACTTTGTATGTATTATCTCTTTCACATAACCATATGATGCAGGTACATCAATGATACCCATTTCACAGATGAGGAATTAGGATTCAGTAAGGCTTAATGACTTGCCAAGGCTTGACAGGTAATAAACGAACCTGGGTTGTCTGGCTCCAAAAAATCAAACTTTAACTCCTTTGCTGTACTGTCATTAACTCGTCTCCAGTATATTTGGAATGAAAGCCAAGGATCTTAATTTTTGAAGCTCCCAGGAGCACCCCATTTGAGAACCCTGCTGTATACTGAAATGATTAATAGCAAATCTGGCCTCCATGTTGACAGCATGTAGACTAATGGCTTTATCTCAGGTCTTTGTTACCTCTTCTTCAGAATGGAGATAACATTTCCCTAGCAGCATCAGTATAAAGATTATATACGTGAAGCATGGGTAACATGTCTACGTGCTATTACTATTACAGTTATTATTGCCATTGGGGGTGGTACGCACTCCCCTTGAGCTCTAGCCTCTCCCTGAACCTATTCCAAATTCCCTCTTTAAGTCCAAGTTCACTGGCATCACTCATCCGGGGTGTTCTTGACTTGAGGTAGCGCCCATCCAAGAAGGCAGCACTTCACAGGGGACTTAATGGTGTTGGAATATTCCAGGGGGTTGAAACTTGGGGAGACAACCCGAGGAGATGAGCCATACAGCTGATCCACAAGATGGGTCTGAGCCCCTATTCCTTTCCTCATAACAATGCCAGTGCCTGATTTCTGTTGGGGGGAGGGGAGCTGGGTGATGGGCAGCATGCTTACAATTCAGCTTCAAGAGACTGCTTGAAATGTCTGCTTACATTCAAGAAATGTAAGCAGACATTTCCCCCACACCAGCCAGCTCCCCGCCTTCCCCATCTAGAGCTGGTGCATCGGCTTTGGTCATATTTGGGGCCTATTCTCAAGCAAGAGGCTAAATTCCCTGAATCACTCCTCTACCAAGACCTTCCCTTGGATGTTACAATCACCTGCTCCTGCCAAACCTCACTACTGTGCTGCACTTCCAGGAGGGGAAAGCATATGGACCGCTATTTGTTGCCAAAACTGATCAAAGAACAAAACTCAGTTCTCACAAAAATTGCACAGTACCTGCTTCCCTCTCCATTTCAATAAAAATGAAGCTCAAGCTCAGGAAACTACCTTTCTCGAAGGAAATATTTTTCATTCAGATCCAACTCCTAACTCGGTCATTTCTCACCTGCTCAAACACCCTGATCACCGGGCGGGAAAAGGACTATAAATAACTGAAATGATAATTTTCTTGAGCATTGTGTTTTAGACACAATAATATCCAGATCTTTCCATTGGAATCCATTGATAATTTTAGAACTTTCCTTGCCGAGGTAGAAAAGAATCCACAGTATTTTTAAAATTTTAATTACTCACTGAATGAAATCTAAAAGTATTTAATTATTAGATTTATGCCTCAAGGTAAGTTCAATGGTAATTACAGGATGTCTTTTTTTAAATTCTAATTCCAAATAATTAAATCCCAAACACATTGAATCATTATGATTATAATGAGAATAAAGGTGTCTTATATTTGAAACCAAAGTTTGGCTTTTTGTTTAACCTTTTTGCACCTCATCAAAGGGGGATGCTTTGGAAAGAAATCTGTCTCCATCTCTCTAATGCTGCTTTAAAACAAAATAAAAAAACCTAATTGTCTGCAGGAATGCTTTTCCATTACAATACCGGCAGAGAGAAAGCAAGCCCCAAGCTCTCCGCTTGCTGGAGGTTCCAAGGCACGCTGAATTCTCTTTTCCTATTTGTCATCCTTGGACACAGGAAGCACCCAGAAACCAGGCAAAAAGATGAAGTAGATACAGTGAGATCATCAGGGCAATGGAGGAAAAGGATCTGGGAAGTACTCCCTCTCCCCGACCTCCAATATGTCCATCAGTCTTGGGGGCATTTTTTGAGCTCACCTTCAGTTAAAAGTGAATGAATGGAGCAGTGTGGGGTTGGGTAGACACCTCACAGGGAGGTGCCCACAGACTAGAGAATATAAAGCAAGATCCACAGAATAAGATCTAAGGAAGGCTCGGACGGTATTGGGGACCAGGCAACAGTAATTGAGAACAAAGGCGCCTCTCCTTTCCCTGTGTTGATGAGGCTGCTGAGGAGCCCTTCCGAGGGCAGCTCAAACAGCATATGAATTGAGCTTAGTTAGTGTCCTGCACACATCTCCGCGTCGTGCTCTGGAATTTGGGAAGTGGGAAGGTGGTGGTTTGTGGTTTCGAGGAGGAGTTGCCGGGTGGGGGTTCAGGAAGGAGAGGAGACGCACGTTTTTAAAAAGTAAATAAACCAAGCCCGGATGTCCTCCCCTGGCTGCTAAGGCAGAGAGGAGAGCACTTGCTCGTTGGAAAGCTTTTGGAGGCCAGGGGTAAGAGCCTGCGAGGAGGGAAGCAAAAAGCTATAAAGAGCAGGCCAGAGAGCAATCATAATACTTAGAAAAATGTCACATTAAAACCTCCAGCTGCTGGCGGCTGGAGGGAAAAAGAGTTCCAGACAATAGCTGAGGGAACAAGTTGGATCTTGTGTTCATTCCTGTGGTTAAAACAAGTCTGTGCGACCACGAGGAAAATTCCATTCTCCTCCGACCTTAACTCCCTGCTTACCCGAACAAGCTGCTTTGAAAAAGGCCCCTTGTTGAAAAAGGCCCCTTGAAGAGAGAACCCGCAATGCACGTCTCTCCTACCGGAAATTTCTCTCTTCTTGCACCCTCACATCTTGCAGTTTACCTCCTCTCCTCGGAGGGGCCTGGTTAGCACTTTGATGAGAGCATAAGGAATGAGGCAGTGTTCAGGAAAATGATGCATTCTCTTGCCACCCTCCCTGCCCCCAACCACAGCGGCATTCACTTTAAAGCTTGAGAACCATAGCTGTCCCGTGAACTTATTCACTAACTGAATAAATGTTTGTTGAATGCCTGCTAGGTTACAGGCTCCAGACTAGGCATTCAGGGAGGACAACCAAGGTCAAGCTATTGCTAAGAACTTCCAAGTCGGGAGGCACAGGAAATATGAGGGTCTGTGTGCTGCTAACCATTTGACCAACTCAGTGAACTTTGTACATTGCAAAAGTGGAACATCACCTTTACCTTTCCTTCTTTTGGGGTTTTCATTGGTCCAGCTGACAAGTGACCTGCCTGCTGGAGTCAGTCCAGCCAAGTATCCCTCTTCCTCACCAGTAATTCCAACATCTGGTCCTTTTCATCCCTCCCAGACAAGCCTAGGTCACCTTGCTCTGGGAACTCTCCCACTGGAAAAAGGAGATTATCAATAATTGTCCTGGGTCCAGGACAGATAGAAAACGATTTCGAATTCAGGAAGGTTTGTTT